TTGCCTAACATATGCAAGGCCCTGGGTTCAATCCCCAGTACTGCAGGTAAAAAATTTTTAATTATAAGGAAGTAAAACACGTATCTCTTTTTTAAAAAAATATTTTTCTTGTTATACATGGACACACAATATCTTTATTTATTTTTGTGGTGCTGAGGATGGAATCCAGCACCTCACATACACTAGGCAAGTGCCCTACCACTGAGCCCCAGCCCCAGACATATCCTTTTATCTCTGCAAAAAGAAATAAAGGGCAGATAAACCAGAAAACAAGCAAGCTGGATAATTATAAGGGGTTAAAGGGGGACTGGAGTGTAGTGGAAGAGATATAAAAGGGAGTGGCATTTCTTCAAATATGTTTTTTTGCAACCATCATACTCAAGACTTGATCAAGCAAAATCAGAAGATACAAAATCATGGGGGAAATTCTAATTAAAAGCTGCATTTAAATTTTTTTTTTTTTTAGTTGTAGACGAACACAATATATTTATTTTTACGTGGTGCTGAGGATCAAACCCAGTACCTCACACACGTGAGGCAAACGCTCTACCCCTGAGCCACAATCCCAGCCCGGCTTTTTTTTTTTTAACCTCAAACTATTTCCCTTTGCATTGCTTATTATAACAAGGGAAAAAACAGAAATCATACAAAAGATATGTGGGTATTCTGTGTATTCTCATACAACTTTACTGCAACTTTCTGTAAGTTTGAAATTATTTCCAAATAACATGTTTTAACAATTATATTTTCAAAGATTGGGGGCGGGGAGTAGTTTCAGCTTATGCTTCTAGCACTGGAACAATTTAGATTCTTTCTCCAAATGTAAAATGAAAGGGTTGAACAAGATACTTCTGAATATATAGGAAGTGTGGTAAAAGAGTAAATTAGAGCTCCTTTAAGAAACTGCTGAAGAGGTTTGGGGTTGTAGCTTAGTAGTAGAACAATTGCCTACCACATATGAGGAACTGGGTTTGATCCTCAACACCACACAAAAATAAATAAATAAAATAAAGGTGTTGTGTCCATCTAAAACTATTTTTTAAAAAGTTGCTAAAGAAACAAAACTCAAAAGTACCTGATCTTCTCACTGGAACTACTAAATATCTGATAATGGGATTGCTATTTCTGGCAAATTTGATTTCTTCACAATATAGCAACATAAGTCTCCATAATTGTGGCTTCTTCAATTTATTTCACACCATAATTCTCTACATCATTATCATACTGTAGTTTACTCTTAGAACACAAGTTCCACTTACAAGGAGGGAAAAGGGAATATTTTCTTTATCCAAAATTAACACTATAAAGGTGCCTGATACAAGTTATTAGTTCTAAAGAGAAATCCCACTGCTTTTTTGTTAAACAAAAATATTTTATTTTTAAGTTTTTTTATTTTTAATTGACACATAATTACATATATTTATGGGATACAGTATGACATTTTGATACATGTATACAACGTGTAATGATCAGATCAGGACAACTGGCATATCCATCACTTTGGACATTTATCAATGCTTTGGGAACATTCAAAATAGTCACCGCTAGCTATTTTCAATTATACAATTAATTGTTGTTAATCATAGTTATCCTATCATGCACCAGAACATTAGAAGTTATTCCTCTTATCCAACCCCACTGCTTTTAATTACAGGTTAAACATACTAAGCCTGATCCATTTAGCTTCATTTTCTTCTAGGATCTAGGGTGATATATTTTATCAAGTTTTCAGTGGGTAATCAACACCTATTGGTTGATTTTGATTTGATACTCTTATAATTTCTTTAGGCTCAGATCTACAGGGCACTATTGCTTAACTTCAAAGGGCTTATTTTTCTTCCTTGATAAATTTCCATTTCATTTTGCTGTTAGTATTCACCTGAGACTCATTTCTACTATACTTACTGCTAAAGGAACCCAAACGGTCCATTCCCTAATTGGCAAAGATTGCTGCTTTTTATCTTCCTTTGTGCAGAGCTTCCTCAAGATCTCAGAACTGGCCAGCACATACACCAAAGCTTGATGTCCCCCTAGGAACAAACAAAAGTGGCACATGGATCAGAAAATCATTCAGAGATAGGAAAATACATAACATATTCAGTTATACCATTGTAATACTGAGCAAATTAGTTTACCTCTATTATGTCTAACTGGTATGATATAATAATATCTACCTCCCAGGGTTGTTCTGAGAATGTCATCATAGTCAAACATCTGGCCCAGAGCAAGTCCTCTATAAATTATACAGATATAAAGGGTTTTTTTTTGTTGTTGTTGTTGTTTTGTTTTTGGTGCTGGGGATCAAACTTAAAAATCTCATGCATGCTATGCTATGCAATCATTCTATCACTGAGCTATATCGTCCCTCCCTAAATGCTATATATTTCTAATAGTAACTGTTGCCTTTCTCTACCCTTCTCTCTTAAGGCCTCTGTCTTTTGGGGAACTGACCCTTTAATATTTTCTACAGTACTGGTAGAGGTACCAATCAATACTCAAAATCTCTACCTCCACAGAAGCTACACCAAAGATTTCTTTTTTTTTTTTTTCAGAAATCTGGATCTTAAGTTAAGACATTGCTCCAGGATAGAAGGTAGACAGAGCTTATTAGCTAGTCAAAGAATTTAGTCAATAAGTTCTGGCTATTGGGTCCATACCCCCCATGGTGACTGGCTCTAATTTCTCTGTCTTTCCAATAAAAACTTTAATCAGAATGATTTTCTATTACTAAAAACCAAAAATCCTATCTATAAAACACATAGTTAACTAATTTACTCTTTCAACAAAATACAAAATACCTTCTTTGAAGGCAGAAATGAAATCTTATTTCACATTAAACCAAGAAACATCCTCTTTCTTCCATACACCAGAGTTTTCCATCCCTTTTCTAGAATTTTCCCCATATATTTTATGAAGATTACTTCTAACTGCACACCTTTTCTCACTTTAAGACTAAACAAAAACAGAGACTACATACAATACAAATTTATATGCCTTTAAAGTATCAAATACATAGAATTCATTAAGTTCACTAAATAATCACAAAAGTTAGTTCTACTTGGGCTACTGAATAAATTCCAGATTTGTTAAAAATGTCTTTTTAGTTGGACACAATGCCTTTATTTATTTTTATGTGGTGCTGAGGGTCGAACCAGCGCCTCACACGAGCACTCTACCACTGAGCCACAACCCCAGCCCCAATTCCAGATTTTTTTTTTAAAAAATGAATTCATCTTTAGTTTTCCTGGAGTGACTTTTTTCACTTTGATAAATCAAATGCACAAAATGCTCAAATCATTACCCATAATAAGGCTGTCAATCAACTTTCCCGTTTTTGGAGTGGAGCCTCCTTGTACAAAGTCCCAAGTCTAGTTGGTCTTTGACAAAAAATGAGGTTACCAAGGGCATATTATACATCCAGTAATAAAATAATGGTCAACATTTATTGAACTTGTCCCATATGCTAGGTACTGATTGTTAACCACCCATGCAGATGATCTCTGAATCCTCACTACCTTCTGGGGTGAGCTACTTTTTATTTTTTAGTACTGGGGACTAAACCCACAGGCACTTAACTATTGAGCCACATCTCTATCCCTTTCTTTATTTTGCATCGCGGTCTCACCAAGTTGCTTAGGGCCTTCTTAGTTGCTGAGGTTGGCCTGGAACTTGGGGTTCTCCTGCTTCAGCCTCTGGGTACAGTTGCCCACAGCCTTTTTTTAATCAAACCCAGGGTCGCTTAACCACTGGGCCACATCCCCCTGTGTCCTCTCCACCCCTTTTAATGTTTTTTTTTAAAAAAAAAAAAAGAGTCTCACTAGTCCTAGCTAAGTTGCTCAGGTTGGTCTCGAACTTGCCATCCTCCTGCCTCAGCCTCCCGACAAGCTCCTTTTTTCATAAAGCTCTGCCTGGGGTGGTGGTGCACGCCTGTAATCCCAGTACCTTGGGAGGCTGCGGCAGGAGAATCATGAGTTCAAAGCCAGCCTCAACAAAAGCTAAGCAAATGAGTGAGACCCAGTCTCTAAATAAAATACAAAAAAAAACAGGGCTGGGAATGTGGCTCAGTGGGCAAGTGCCCCAGAGTTCAATACCCAGTACGCCACCCCCCCACCAAAAAAAAAAAGCTCTGAAAGATTTAGAGTGCTTGCACAATGTCTTTCTGGTAGTGAACAGCTGTGCCATTTCAACAGAGGTGATATAGATGGTCAAATAAAGGAAGTTTAGAATAAACGTCAGAAAACACAAAACTGCAGTATGCAGAATCTCCCTTTCTCTCCATCTCATAGAAGACCGAACTGTGACACTAACATGATAGGCGCCAGCTCCACAGAAACACTGGTTAAATTCAAATTAGATATTGGAATGTGGAAGAAAGGCGCTGTGAAAAGCGATTCCGCATGGTGCAGAGGAGACGCAGGCTTTACAGTTTTGCAGCCAACTTACTTGGTCTCTATTAGCTGCAAGTCATTTTTTTCCTCTTTGCTCCAAAATGGTGCTAACACACCTACTTACAAAGGCCTACTTGGAAATTTCACTTGGTAACGTCGATCAAGGGCATCTCGAACAGCACTGGTATAGAAGTGATTATGGGCTCCATTGCAGGGAACGATACACCAAGGCTGGGACACAGCAGGGCCGCCCAAGCGCGGGGCGGGGCTCCAGCGGGGTCAGGCCCGGCCGCGTGCCGCCCTCCCCCACAGTGCGGCGTGCCCAAACGCCGCGCCATGCGAGGCTCCCCTCGCCGCCGCAGCCCGTACCTCGCAACCCTGCGTCCCCCCTAGGTCTTGCCAGAGGGGTTCGCGCCCCGCCACAAGCTTGCCCCGCGCCTCACCTCACCGCGTCTGCAACCTCGTCTCCGAGGAGCCACCAGTCGCGCTCGCTGCCAGCGGTGGCGTGCCCTACCCGGGCTTGCGTGCGCGCTCGACTCGGCGTGCGTTGCCCGGGTTTGCGTGCGCGGTCCCGGGCTGCGCAGGCTCGAGCCCGCCGCGTGTTATGCCCCCGCCGCCTCCTTCCCCTCCCTCTCTCCGGCCACGGCGGCCCCGCCCGCCACGCCTCTGCCCCTCTCCCCTTCGGTCCTTTCCCCTTGCCCCGCCTGGCCCCCGCTGCCGTTCGGGTGCTTGAGGACTGGGAAGATGGGGCTGAGACGTTTGCCTGACTGTTGAATCTGAGCAATAATCACTTTTCCCGAGTGGCGCGTGGCCCGTCGCCAGAGGCTTCCTGTTCGTGGTGCCGTTTGGTCCCCTCCGGAGCGGGGTGAGACAGGCCCGACTGGTGCAGTCTGGGTTTTGTGTTAACATTCCCACTCCCACCCCAGTTGCAGCCAAGGAAATTGAGGCTGAGGCACCGGGCTCCAGGACCGCGAAGCGGGCCGCCACTCCAGTCCCAGCCCCTCAGTGCAGCTCTTGGATTGATCAGACTGAATGGCTCCAGGGGTGAAGAGGGCACGTTTCCTTTAGATGCTTCTGCAACGTCGAAATTGTCTTCTTTGGAAAGAACCATCCCCTCTTTGGGATTCAGAGGCCCAAATGGAGGTGCAATGATGAGAGGATGTGGTGGTCCACTCTGATGTCAATCTTGAGGGCTAGGTATGTCCCAACATCTCTTATTACTACTACCAGTGGTTATTATAGTAACTACTATTTATTGAGGATTTATTGCATGCCAGGCATTTGTACAAAGCAGGTTACATATATGGTCTCATTTAAAGCAACTTTATGATGTAGGCATTATTTTCCCCATTTTCCAGGTGAAGATAATCAGGCACTGGCATATTTGTAACTTGGAATCACACTGCTAGGAAGTGTTGGCACAGGGGCTTCCAACCATGGTTTATCTTAACCAAATACTATTTATTCAGAAGTATGTCTCTGATACATTCACCCAACCTCTTAGAATTCAATTACACTTCTACCTATGGGCCCCTATATTCATTTTTCTTCTTCTTCTTCTTCTTTTTTTATATGTAATACAAGTTGCTTGTTAAAAAAGAAAGAAAACTCATGAGCAAAAGTTGCGAAAACCACCTTACCATATTAAATAGTTAAATTTTGACTTATACCATTCCATTCATTTTCCTATGCATCATTTAAATAAATATGCGATATTTTATATTTGATGTATCCTGAAAATATACTTATTTGCTCATTTGACAAATATTTAATGAGCAGACACTGTACTATATGCTGGGAATTCAGTAGTGAGCAAAGCAAAGAGCTCGTATTATTTGGGGGAAGATTGACAAGTAATACACATGTTCCTAAATAATAATGCCAGTTTATGTGGTTTTATGGAAAAATAAATCAGGATAAAGGGATAAGAGTAATGCAGAGATTCTCTTTTCGTTAGGGTGGACAAGAAAGGCCTCTTAACAGAAGCAGCACATAAGCAAAAACATAATCATTTAATGAGAAAGGAAGCTAAGTGAATTTCTAGAGGGAAACTATTCTAGAAAAGAAACAGTAAATGCAGTGCCTTGACATAGGGATTTGTTTGGAATGGAGAAGCAAAGAGATCAGAGTGGCATAGAAATTAGACAAATAAGATGAAAAACACAGCCAAGGAGCTAGATTATGTACCATCTGGTAAGCCATGATTGGACCTTGGATTTTATTTGAATGTGTTGCCATGAAGAGTGAGACCAAAGGAATAATCAGATTTACTTTAAAAGGATCACTCTGGCAGTGTTGTGGAGAATGGATGGTAGAAACATAGAAATTGCCTTGTAAAGCATCAATTGTACTTTTACACAGCAGCTAATTAAAAAATAACTTGTTAATACTGATGGTTTACCTATACCTTTACATCTACTCTCAATTTTTCCTGAAAGTAGAGTTAGAGTCAATTACTTAAACATGTTTGTGTGTGTGTATCACATAAACAGATTTTTTTTTTTTTTTTTTTTTTTTTTAGTCTGGCTGGGGCATATGCCCAGATCTGCATGTCATGACTATTAACTAACTGAAGGCATCAATGTTGTACTGTTATGGAATAAACAGTCCCACATAATATCCCAATCTGTTCATTAAAAACGTAGAATTCAAACTCTTGGAAATTACCCTCCCTCTTCAGTTGATTTTAAGTCCTCCTTAGAATTAATTCTAAGCACAGTTTAGTCAGTGTTGTTAAGAAAAATGTGGAGAAATTAAAATGCACACTAAGAGGAAGAATAACACGTATTGAGGCAGTGCTTTTTTGAATTTTTACCTTAAGCAATGGAGTGATAGTGGCATCACTTACTAGACCAGGTGAGGGGAATTTTGGGAAAGGCCAGCTGAAGAAAGAGATTTGGAGGAGAAATGAATTAAAGTTCTATTTTTGGATCTGTGTTTTGCCTTCAAACTGGAAATGACAAATGAGACTGTAGCTCAGTGGAGAGGTAAGGGCTAAACCTACATAAATATAGAATAGTTTCTTTGTGTCTTCCCTAAACAGAGCCTGGGGACAGTGTCTTTTCTTAGTAATCTCAGCACCCAGAAATGAATCTTCAACAAATATTTGTGAAATGAATAGATAAACGCAAAGGTATAGATGAAGTCACTTAGGCAAGATGCATAGAAGAGAAGTTATGCACTCTACTTTCTCTGGAGGTCCAAGCACCTGCACGTGACCATAATACCTGATTTGCTTAGGCATTTCCTTGTTTACACCTCATCTGTATCTATATAATTATTAATATTTCCTTGACTCACTCTTAAAAGTGCCTCAGTTTGCACAATACATTTTTGTGTTGTTCTTTATAAAAGGTCCTTTAGGATCTACCTTCTTCATTTTTCTTTCTCATCACTACTCTCTTATACTCCATTCTCCAGCTAGACTTAACTTGCTCCCTTTCTCCTTTGCACTCTTATTTCCAAACTTCTTTTGCCTACCTCAACTTGGCTATCACTTCCTTTGGAACACCTCTTCTGACCCACCTCCCAAAGTCTGAGTTAAGTAGATCTCTTACATGCTTCCAGAGCACCCTGTTTAATCTGTCGTAGTCAAGATGACTAAGTTTCTGTTCCCTAGCTAAACATCTTTATAAGGAAATCTGAAAAAACACCTTTTGCCCTTTTCAAGCCAAAAATTTACTTTAAGAATATCCAAATCAGGGGCTGGGGATGTGGCTCAAGCTGTAGCACGCTCGCCCGGCATGCGTGTGGCCCGGGTTCGATCCTCAGCACCACATACAAAGATGTTGTATCCGCTGAAAAAAAACCTAAAAAATAAATATTAAAAAAATTATCTCTCTCTCTTTAAAAAAAAATAAAATAAAAAAAAAAAGAATATCCACATCAGCCGGGCGTGGTGGCACACGCCTGTAATTCCAGCATTCAGGAGGACCCCCAGCACCATGTGAAAAAATGTAAAAATGACATTTCTAATTATCAGGGAACACAAATTACAATGAAATATCACCTCATACCTGTTAGAGTGGTTATCGGTTAAAAAAATAAAGAAGTAGCATTGTGAGTATCTGGAGATAAAGGAATCTCTTGTGTACTGTTGGTTGGCATATAAATTCGTTCAGCCATTATGGAAATTAGTATGGAGTTTCTTTTTTTTTTTTTTTTTTGGTACCAGGGATTGAACTCAGGGCACTTAACCACTGAGCTACATCCTAGCCCTCTGTTGTATTTTTTATTTAGAGACAGGGTCTCACTGAGTTGCTTAGTGCCTTGTTGTTGCTGAGGCTGGCTTTAAACTTGAAGTCCTCCTGCCTCAGCCTCCCAAGCCGCTGGGATTATAGGCATGTGCCACCTCACTGGCCTGAAGGTTCTTTAAAAATTAAAAATCGAACTACTATATGATCCAACAATCCCACTTCTGAGTGTATATCCAAAGGAAATGAAATCAGTATTTTGAGATATCTGCACTCTAAAGTTCATTGAGGCATTATTCAGAATAACCAAGACATGGAAACATCCTAAGTGTCAGCAGATGAAAATATAAAGAAAATGTCCCCCCACACACACACACACAAATACTATTTAGCCTTAAAAAGGAAATCCTATAATTTCTAACAACATAGCTCACTCTGGAGGACATTATGCTAAGTGAAACAGGTCAGGCACAGAAAGACAAATACTGTATGATCTCACTGGTATGTGAAATCTAAAAAAGTCAAACTCATAGACACAGAGTAGAAAGGTGGTTACCAAGGGCTGAGGGAGCAGAGATTGAGGAGATATTGGCCAAAGGGATCAATTTTTTTTTTTTTAATGAAGATGGACACAATACCTTCATTTTATTTATTTATTTGTGGTGCTAAGGATTAAACCCAGTGCCTCACATATACTAGGCAAATGCTTTATCACTGAGCTACAATTACAGCTCCAAAGGATCAAATTTTTATTTAGACAAGAGAAATGAATTCAGAGGTTCTGTTATGCATCAAATAATAGCAAATCATTTTATTGAAAATTACTGAGTAGATCTTAAATGTTCTCACAGCCACCAAAAATGAAGTAGTGAGGTAATGGATGTGTTAATATGTTGGTTTATCTATGCCACAATGTATACATATAATCAAACCATTGTTTTGTATATTATATGTGTGTGTGTGTGTGTGTATGATTTTTGTCAGTTTAAAAATAAATTTTTTAGTAAACATACCATAAGTTCATAAGTAAACAAATATTTTTACAGAATGCAAAATGTAAAAAGCAAAAAAATAAAAAAAATTTAAAAAAGATCTGCCCAAATGGTGACAGTCTATAATCTTTTGCAACTAATAAGTGCCCAATAAATGTTTGAAATATTTGTAAAGAAACTGGCCTAGATTAATGAGAAAAAAGAAAGATAATAACTTACCACTCTCAATAATTTAGGCAAGTTATTATCTTTCTTTTTTCTCATCATATATAAAATAAAAATAATACCTAAGAGTTTGTAAAGATGTGATTATGTATGTATAGTTCCTAGTTCATAGTGGGAGTCAAACTATTAAAGTAATAAAAGTACTTAAAAAGATGGGGGCTGGGGATGCAGCTCAGTTATTCCTTTTATATACAAGGTCCTTGGTTTGATTCCTAGCACTGCAAAAAATAATAAATAAAATGCAATTTTTAAAATATTTAAAACAAATAATCATTTTAATTTTAATTCTTGAAGTGCTCCACACTTGTGGGGCTTGTATAGAGATTGTTCTAGGATAGGTTGAATAGTGCTCAGCATTATTAGCAGCTTTTCTTTTCTTGAATCAGGAACTCCTACCTGGAAACCCTTTTTTGTGTGTGTGTGTGTGGTGCTAGGAATTGAACCCAGGGCCTTGTACATGTGAGACAAACACTCTACTGACTGAGAGCTATATCCCCAGCCCCTAAACAGAATTTCTTTAGCTGTTTTCTTCTTTAGCTTCTTTCTCACTACAGAAAACAAAATGTACATTATCTCACAGGTCACAGGACAAATGTGTAGTTGCAATCTAGAATGGATAAGACAGCTTTGCCTCCAGAGGAGAAAAACTCAGGAGCAGTGCTCCATTTAATTAACGTAAATAGTGAACAGACTTATGGATTATGAACTTTTAACTATAAGACTGCTCTTGGAGTACAGAATACTATTATAATCAAAATTTACAACAAGGTTAATCTGATGCATATTT